GAGCCAAACCGGCCAGGGCTCTGTAAAATATTCTTTATTTCAGTCAGTGCCTCCTTCATTTCTAACTGGTCCTCTTTAATGCTCTTGAGGCACTCACTAAGTTCACTGAAGTCTTCACTAAGTACATTGAGCATCCTTATAAGCAGTGTTTTGAACTATGCATCTGTTAGATTCTTATTTCCATTTCATTTAGTTCTTTTCCTGGAGTTTTGTTCTGTTCTTTCATTTGGGACATGTTTCTTTGTCTTCTCATTTTGGCTGCCTCTCTGTGTTTGTCCTGGGCTTCCTAGGGTGGCCTATTGTAGTAGGTGTCCTGTAGAGTCCAGTGGCACAGCCTCCCTGGTCTCCCAGCTGGGCTCTCGGGGTACACCCCTTGTGTGTACTTTACACCCTTCTGTTGTAATCGAGTCTTGATTGCTTGGATGATCAGCTGTGCAGGAGCCCACCACACAGAGCAAGACTTACTTCAGCAAGACTATGTTACCCACTGAGTTCTTTCCTTGAGTGGATCACTTGGGGAGGTGGTTGGGTGGTGGTGCTTTGCAGTATTCTGAGGCTGTCCACTGGGTGTGCTGGCTCTGGAGCAAGGTCAGCCACTGTACATCCACTTTTTAAGTCAGCCTGGAAATATTTATGGAATCAGTTGAAGTTTTCAGTGTTTCAGTGGGTATCATTATGAATTCTGCATTGTGTATTGTTGGCCTTTTTATATTAGAAAATGAAGATACTGGCAGTGGTTATCCACACATGTGTGCAAGTTGATATAAAAAGACTAACGTGCTTCTAAAACAGGCTTCCTCCTATATCTAATGAGAAAATTCTGACCTTTGATGTTTTTCATTACTACTGCTGCTGCTGCTGCTGCTTTATTTGTTGAGCACTTAATATGTGCCAGGTCTTATTCTAGGTGCTTTAGATGTATTAGCAAAATCAATTCTCAAAACAACCTACTGAAAAATGTACTATTACCATCTCCAGTTAACAGGGGAGGAAACATGTATAGAGAGGGGAAGTAACTCTCGTAGGGACATAGAGCCAGCAAGTGGCAGAATCCGAAGAACTCTTTGTTGTTTCGTTCCAGACCCCATGCTGCTACCAGACTACAGTGCGGACTACCACTAGTCTACTACAATGGCCCTGTTATGATAGGCCTCTGTATAGTGCTTATTTCCTTATCAACTGTTTGTACAGTTGGAGAGGATAAAGAATTATATAAAATACACTATCATGATTATAGTATGGATTTCAGTGAACTTTTCTTGACTTATAAAATTCAACATCACTGCCCTGGCTGGTTTTGCTCAGTGGTTAGAGCATCATCCTGAATACTGAGGGCTGGAGGGTTCAATTCCTGGTGAACGGCATGTACCTGGGTTGCAGGTTCAATCCCTGGCCCTGGTCGGTGTTGTGTGGGAGGCAACCAATTGATATGTCTCTCCCACATCGATGTTTCTCTCTCTCTCTCTCTCTCTCTCTCTCTCTCTCTCTCTCTGTCCCATTCTATCTAGAAATCAATTGAAAAATATCCTCAGGTGAGGACTAAAAAGAAAAAGAAGAAAAGGAAGAAAGAATAAAATTCAACATCAGGAATTGATTTCATGTGAAACTTCAGTAGTGTAAAATGTCTAATGGATCAACTTTTCTGAACATATTAGAGAAAGGCAGTGATTTACTCCCACACTCAACTCAAATGCCAGTTTAGGAGTATGTGTGTAAACCACCAAGCAGCAGTAACAGAGTGACTTGGTGAAGACATGCGTGTAGGAGACAGCAGATTTGACAGTAAGTGTGATCTTGAGTTTTCAGTGCTGATTCTTCAGAAAGCCAGAATTAGTTTATGAATATTAACTGGGTAATCTTAAAATGACCATGTGTGATGTGGGGATTAGTGTGGTGTTTTAGACAGAAAGTAGATATTAGAAACTGTCACACATATCTAGATAATCAGATTTGTTTATATTAAAAAAAAATTTTTCAAGGAAATATGACTTGGCATCAGTGTTAGAGATCATGAAAACTATGTATTTCTTCTAAAATGTTTTACTAGAAAAGAGCCAGAGAATACAAGCCCCAAATGAGTGAAGTATATGTGAACAAATCAGTGTTGTATAAAAATATTTAATATAATTAAAGTGAACTCATCTAATATATTACAAACCCTTGAACATATTGAATTATGAGATAATGTCATTCATAGAAATAGTAATAGTAGTAACAACCACATAACTACTCATTTTTATTGTGAATCAGGAAAATACTTTATGTACATTATCTTATTTAACCCTTGCAATCTGTGAGGTGGTCACTATTATTACCACCATTTCAAGGATGAGAAAACGGGGGAGAAGAAAGGATTAGTTATGTGCACAAGGTTACATAACTTGCAAGCATCATTAAATGCATTCAGTATTTATTGAGTATACCTACCACAGGCCTGGCACTGTTCTAAGTAATGGGAAACTAGCAATGAGTAAAACAAAGTTCTATTTTCATAGAAGGACCTTATCTTCTATGAGGGAGATAGAAAACAAACAGATATCAGATGGTAATAAGGATTATGCAGAACAGTTAAGCCCAGTAAGGGGGAAATGGTGGTGGTGGGGTGCTAGGTTACAGTGCTGGGGTCGGCTATCATCACTCCTTTGGACAGATCAGTAAGGAGGACCTCTCAGATGAGGTGACATTTCAGCAGACACCTGAAGAGAGAGAGGGATATTTGTAGGAAGAGCACTCCTGGCAAAGGAGTAAAAGAGATTCCTGTGCTTGGAGTATCTGAGGAAAACCAAAGAGGCCATGTAACTACTGTGGGTGAAGACTGGATGGTCAGAGTTTGAATGCAGATACCAGAGCACACATTTCAACCACTACTCTAATCTGATGAGGCAACCAGAGTATTACCTGACCTATTGTGATCTTGGAGACACTTTGTATTATACTCATGGAAAAGAGGAGGGCAGTAAATTTCTGCTCTGGAAGTTCTGTGGGTAGAATTGAGAGTATGTGAGAAATCACTGTGTTTTAGGGAGCGGTGCTTTGGAGAATACAAGTAGGGAAAGATTGTGTACTATAAATCGGGGAAACTGAGACTGTAACTCCCCTACTCAGAATTTTGTAGTGGTTCTCCATCGCCTTCAGAGCTTTGGAGAAGTTCAGTAACTTTCCCAAAACCCCATAGGAAATAGACCTAGTTTGGAATCATGATAAAACTGTGTTCACAACTGCTAAGCTATGCTACTCTTCTCAGAATGCGAAATCAAGTACATGCTCACTGGCGACCTGTCACCGACAGACTGAAGTTAACAAACCTTGGAAAGGAATACAGGGCCCTAGGAGAGTAGCTCCCACCTTCTCTTTTGCTCTTACTTCTACTGCTCTTCCCAGGTGCCCTAGTGTGGAGCAGAACAGTACTTCTTACTCATGTACCTAGGAATTTGCACATTCTGAAACCTCCTTCTTCCTCTTGTTTTGTAATGAAGATTTTATATCTTCCTCGAGGACTTTCTTTCCCAATCTTCTTCCCGTATTGAGTTATAACTTCATACCTTGGCTGTTTTTGGAATTTACATATCTGTGTAGTTGCTCGTATTGCCAGTAGAATCATTCTCTGAGCCTCTGCCCCTCCACCCAGGATTAGAGCCGCTCCTCTGCACTGCCAGATAAATCTGTGCAAGCATTGATTATGCCTCTTATCACACTTTTTGGGGAGAGAATTTCTTTACTTATATCTCTGCCTCTTCTTTCTATAAGTCATTGAAAGCTTATGCCTTGTATTTATCTATATTTCAACCACTAGAATAGGGCTTGGCATGTAGTTTATCTGCTTATTTAAATTAAACATAAAATACTGGATGCAGAAGTATAATAACAGTTTTGATTAGATCAAAACAAATGGAATATGTTGATATTAGTTCATTCCGAAAAGAAAAAAGTAGGTAATAATAAAGTACTCTTTAGTGAAAGGTTAGTATTCTCCAGACAGTAAACTCACTGCTGAAGTACACCATTCCATTATTCCAAATCAAATTTGAACTTGAAAGACATACCTTATTAGGTATAACTTTAAAGCTAAATTAATATCTTACTAGATATAACTCTTAAAACTAAACTTTAAAAATGACTTCATTTTTAAACTATTAGCTAACTGGATAGTAAGAGATATTAGTAGAGCTTTATGTGGAGGAAAAAGTCCTTGGAAAGGGATAGAAATCATCTTTGTTTCTTTCTATTCAGTTTTTAAAACAAATGTGTATACTTGGCTCCATGTAGAGGTCTTCCGGAAAGAACACTGTACTCATTTACAACTTAAACGTGGCATGTTGGGTGAGACAGAGGGCTGTTGGACAAGTGAGCCCAGATGAGACCCTGCAGAATGCAGTGCTTCGTTCTGTTATCAATGGTTAATTGTAAAGGCTTCAGTAAGTGCCATCCTTCCAACCTAAGGCCCAAAGTGGGATACTTAAGGCCTTAGTTATTTTGTCTAACTCTTGATTTTCATTCAATAGAAAATCTACTCATTAGGAATTCTACTGAGTGATTTTTGAATAGGAATTGTCATTGCTAATTGCTGTTTGTTTTCCAGACAAGTATGTTATTTCAAAAATGTTTATAATCACTGATACGTCATTTTTTGACATATATTAGTTTGGGGTTATATAACATTTGTATGTTATTGGTAGCATTGTTGAACTATACTCTGAAATAATTGTAAATACAAAATCTTTAAAAAATGTATCATATAGTTTTCCCTCACTTCTAAAAGCACAATATAATTTTTCTTCCTCTTTTTTTTTTTGCTTGATTTTATTGTCTCCTTAATTTTTCAGTATTTTGTGCTGATTTAAATGGATTAGATAGTTTTTATTTAATCCTAATACTTGAGTCTCTCAGTAGGAAAGACTACATTAGTGCTCAAAAAAGATACTTAAGAAATTATTTTGCTTTCAACCCTCTCCATAATCTGGTAGAAATGTGTGCTAAAGCTCCCTGTGGTTTTATTGCAGCGATACTGCAGCCAAAGCCCTGTGGGAAGCCTTACTGAACAGCAAGCACAAAGAGGCTGTGATGGAAGTCCGGAGACATCTAGTGGAAGCAGCAAGCAGAGAAAACCTGCCAATCAAGATGAGTATGGGTAAGTGTATCCACTTTACCCAGGGTAGACAGTGGTTGCAGGCTCCAGGGAGTTCATTTAAGCCAGCTTGAAACCATGAGCCATTGTAGCCAGCATGGCTTGTAGATAAAAGTATTAAAGTATTTGTAAACGGTTGAAAGCGCAGGGAGGGAATACATACACACTCCCTTGGGGCTCAACAGTGACCCCTTTTCTTAGAACTCAATTTTGGGAACTCTAGGAGAGTCGTTGCATACAAAGAATAATTCTTTTAGTTTCTTTAGTTGATCTAGAACTATCGAAATTGGTCTGGACCACCTTCCCTTCATTCTATTTCACCACTACTCCCACCCCACCTCTTTAAAAATATGTGTTTATTGATTTTTTTTTAGAGATAGAGGAAGAGAAAGAGCAATAGAAACATCAATGTGAGAGAAAAACATTGATTGGCTGCCTCCTGCACACCCCCTACTAGAGATCGAGCCCTTAACCCCGGCATGTGCCCTGACCGAGAATTGAACCAGGACCTCTCAGTCCATGGGAGGATGCTCAATCCACTGAGCCATACCGGCTGCTAGCCCAAGTTCTTAATTACTTATGAGTATAAAAATCAAACTATTAAGTTAAAATGGAAGAAAAAAATTTTGGAAGGAAAGAAATGTAGATGAGCCCTGGATAGTTTGCTCAGTGGATAGAGTGTCAGCCAGTGGACCAAAGAGTCGCAGGTTTGATTCTGGTCAAGGGCATGTACCTTGGTTGTAGTTTGGTCTCTGGCCCTGGTTGAGGTCATGTGGGAGTCAACCAATTGATGTGTCTCTCTCACTTCGATGTTTCTCTCTCTCTCCCCCTCCCACTCTCTCTGAAAATAAATGGAAGAATATCCTCCGGTGAGGATTTAAAAAAAAAAAAGGAATATTGCCCTGGCCGGTTTGGCTCAGTGGTTGGAGCATTGGCCTGTGGACCAGAGTCCCAGGTTCGGTTCCTGCTTGGGGCATGTACCAAAAAAAAAAAAAAAGGAATATGGATGAAACTAGAAGGAAAAATGTTACACTTTCAGTGTGTTAGGTGACCATATATGAGGGCTTTAAGGAATACAATGATGATTTTTTTAAAAGTGAAAATAACATTTATTGAGTATTTACAATGTGCCAGGTCTTCTAATTTTTTACATGTATTATCTTATTTAATTCTCAAACTAATTCTGGTGAGAAATTAGTTTTTCAGGTAAGGAAACTGGAATAGAGAAAAAGTAAGTTGTCCAAAGCCTTATGTCTGACCAGGAACAGGACTGAAATTCAAACCCAGACATCTTGATGGAAGAGAATATGTTCTTTATTTGTAAAATTATTCTTGTTCCATACAACCCATGCCAGAAGCCCTATTGTGTGTTAGGGTAGAAATAAAGCTGCTGCTTAGAGACCGTCCTGACATTTGAATATTAATTCTAGTTCCTTTCTTTTTTCCTCCCTCTCTTCTTCCTTCCTCCATCTCTTTCTCCTTCTCCCTCTCTTTCTTTTTTAAATTTCCACAGTTCTAGGTACACATTAAGAACAAGCATGTTTATTTTGTAGAGTTCCTTATCTGTGATTATGTGAAAAAGAAGCAGTCCACATTGTCAATCAAGAAAAGTAGAAATGCACAAAGGGTCTTGGTGATCAGGTTAATTTATAGTATTCTGCTTCACCGATATAACCTTATGATGCTATCACAGAGCATAAAGCAATTTTTATTGTTTAATGCAGGCCTCTAGAAAGATCAACACACTTTACTTTTCTCAAGGGCTGTATCTTTTAAAAATAATCTGAACTAGGGGGGAAAAGATGAGTAACTTCATAAGGATTCAAATTTATGTTTGAGATTTTTGTCAACCCATTTCTGCTTCATATCACTAGTCATAATACTAGTCAGAATTTCTGGTGTGTCTCATTTCTATATACCAACAGATACGTAACTATCAACAGTAAGGAAAAGAGCTGGAATTTAAACATAATAAAACATTGGTATTTGAAAACTACTTATCATATAGCTTATCATTAAAAAAAAGTCATGCTCTTATATCCTTCATGGCTGGAATGCTTTTTCTAGCAGTATTTAAAATTATGAAATATACTTTAAACTATGAACTGATCTCCCAAGCCCAGCTGTAAAATTCTACTGAAGTATAAATTTTTCTAACTGTGATAGAGCCTTATAGTATTTTTGAGACATTCAACAGAGATTTTAATTTAGACTGAGGATCCTCTTGTATTTAAATATACTGAGAGTTTTCCCATGATTAAAACTTCAGATCTTAAATTTTTCAGTATAATATTAAAACATTATCAGCACTAGGGAAAATAAACATCATTCTCTTAAGGGAAAAGATTAATTGCTAAAACAACCCCAAGAACTTTTCTTTATGTAGATTATATCTATTGATATCTGTGAGACAGATAGATAGATAGAAGATAGATAGATAGGAGGTAGATAGATAGTATCACATTAGAAATTCAAGCAGGGAAAAATTAAAGTATTTATTAAGTAATCTAAAAATATAACAAACTTATTACATGTTAACATGAGTCACATATTTTTGCAAAAAATAACTATATTTTCTTTAAAAAGTTTTGTTTCTTTTTTCTTTTCTTTTTTTATCCTCACCCGAGGACATTTTTTTGACATTTTGTTCAGATAGAGTAGGAGGGAGAGAGAGAGAGAGAAACATCGACGTGAAAGGGACACATCGAGTGGTTGCCACCCACACGACCCAACCAGGGCTGGGGACAAACTGCAACCGAGGTACGCGCCCCTAGCGGGAACCGAACCCGGGTCTCTCCAGACCGCAGGCCAATGCTCCAACCGCTGAGCCAAACCGGCCAGGGCAAAATTTTTGTTTCTTTATTGATTTTAGAGAGAGAGGAAGAGAGAGGAAGAGAGAGATAGAAACATCGATGAGAGAGAACATTGACTGGCTGCCTCCTACATGCCCCCCACCAGGGACTTTGGTCTACAACCTGGACATGTGTCCTGACCAGGAATTGAACCGGTGACCTCTTGAGTCATGGGTTGATGCTCTACCACTGAGCCACATTGACCAGGCTAACTATATTTTCTAAAATAAAATAAGTTCAAATAAAGGCACTGTTTTATATTTTTGCATGTCTTCATGTCTGGTTTAGAAGACAGCTATATCTCATATCTGCTTCTCCATTCAACATGTTGTGATGTATCATTTTGGATAAAGTATATAAAGAAATTATGGTCTTACAAATATACCTATTTGAAATGGAAGAAATATTTTAATAACTTTTCAGAAAAAGGCAGATAATCTTCTGTGATAAAACACCAACTTTATAAGAGGCAATTTCTTATAGGTTAATGACAATGTAGAATATGAATCCATATCATTAAATTCTCTATGCTCTCTCTTGTACTTTTTTTTTCTATTTTCAATAGTATTTCTATTTTATTTTATTATTTTTTATTTAATTAATTAATTAATTTTTGTTACAGATGTTTCTCCTTTTTCCTCCACTGATAACTCCCTCCCCCTCCTTCCCCACCCTGTCCCCAGCTTTGTTGTCCATGTCCATTGTTCATGTATATATGCATATAAGTTCTGCGGTTTATCTTTCCCTTCCCACCCCCTCTTCTGGGGATTGTCAGTCTGTACTCCACTTCCACATATCTGGGACTACCCCATTCCTGTTATGTTCATTATATTCCACAAATAAATAAGTGAGATCATGTGATATTTGTCTTTCTCTGTTTGGCTTGTTTTGCTTAGGATAATACTCTCCAGGTCCCTCCAGGTCCTCTCAAAAGATAAGAGATCTTTCTTTCTTACACCTGCATAATACTCCATTGTGTATATGTACAACAGCTTTTTCATCCATTTGCCTACTGATGGACATTTGGGCTGTTTCCAGATCTTAGCAATTATAAATAGTGTTGCTATGAACATGGGGGTACATATATTCTTTCTGATTGGTGTTTCAGGCTTCTTAGGGTATATTCCTAGAAGTGGGATCACTGGGTCAAACGGCAGTTCAATTTTTAGTTTTTTGAGGTAACACCATATTGTTTTCCATAGCGGCTGCACCAGTCTGCATTCCCACCAACAGTGTACTAGAGTCCCCTTTTCTCCACACCCTCACCAACACTTGTTGTTTGATGATTTGTTGATGGTGGCCATTCTGACAGGTGTGAGGTGATACTTCACTGTTGTTTTAATTTGCATCTCTCTGATGATTAGTGATGTTGAGCATTTCTTTATATGTCTCTTAACCATTTGTATGTCCTGTTTGGAGAGGTGTCTATTTAGTTCCTCTGCCCATTTTTTAATTGGGTTCTTGGACTTCCTTTTGTTGAGTTGTATGAGCACTCTATATATATTGGAAATTAACCCCTTATCTGATACATCATTGGCAATTATGCTCTCCCATAGAGTGGGTTCCCTTTCCATTTTGGAGGTTGTTTCTTTTGCTGTGCATAAGCTTTTGAGTTGATGTAGTCCCATGTGTTCATTTTCTCCTTTGTTTCTGTTGCCTTGGGTGATGTATCAGTGAAAATTCTTCTGCGTATGATGTCTGAAATTTTGTTGCCTACATTTTCTTCTAGGATTTTTATGGATCATGAGTCACATTTAAGTCTTTTATCCATTTAGAGTTTATTTTTGTATATGGTGTAAGTGGATGGTCTAGTTTCATTTTTTTTGCATGTAGCTGTCCAATTTTTCCAACACCATTTATTAAAGAGGCTGTCTTTACTCCACTGTATGCTCTTGCCCCCTTTGTCAAATATTAATTGAGCATATTGCCTTGGGTCCATTTCTGGGTTCTCTGTTCTGTTCCTCTGGTCTATATGCCTATTCTGTGCCAGTACCAGGCTGTTTTGATTACGGTGGCTTTGTAGTATAACCTGATATCTGGTAATGTGATCCCTCCAACTTTGTTCTTCCTTTTCAAGATTGGTGTGGCTATTCAGGGTCTGTTTTGGTTCCATATGAGCTTTTGAAGTATTTGTTCTAGTTCTGTGAAGTA